TGAATTCAGACCAATTCCTCTGACCTCATTAGTCATCAGTGTTGGGGAGTAACAGATTACATGTACCAGAGTTACGTAATCAGAGTACAAATTATGACTATGTAACTGTATTCAGTTACAGTTACTGTTTCAGTGAGTGGTAACTGGATTACAGTTACTTTGTTGAAATAAATGGATTACACGGCGGTATTTTCCTGTTTTCAAATTTTGGACTATATCCTTTTTTTTTTTCCTTTTTTTTGTTTTTAACCAAGTCTAAACCAGGACTAATTCAGGATTGACCTAGGACTGAACCCAAGTCTAAACCAGGTCTAAACCAGATTTAAACTAGATCTAAACCAGGTCTAAACCAGGTCTAAACTAGATCTAAACCAGGTCTAAACCAGGTCTAAACTAGATCTAAACCCAGACCAAACCAGGTCAAAAACAGGATTTAACAGGACGAAACCATGCCACGCGGATCGTGTCTCCTCCTCTTCTATCAATAATATTTTTTTATTTGGTTCAGTAAAGTCTGGGCTTTTTATTTTATTTTAGCAGACAAAACATCTTATGTGAAGTTTTTCTTGTCTTTGCTTCTCTACAGCAAAACAACTAATCTAAATTATTCAGATTACGTTACTCACTTTAAGTAATTTCATGGATTACATTACAAACTACATTTTAGGGTATGTAATCTGTAATCTGTAGGGGAATACATTTTTAAAGTCACCTTCCCAACACTGTTGGTCATGAAAATCTTTGAGAAGATACTAAAAGAGAATATCCTCTCTTTAACCAGTGGTAAACTAGACCCCTTGCAGTTTGCGTATCAAGCAGGGAAAGGTGTAGAGGATGCAAAAATATTTCTTTTGGACACTATTTATAAACACCTTGAAAAGCCCAACTCACGTGCACGGATACTTTTTGCGAACTTCTCTTCAGCTTTTAACAAGATGCAGCCAGATATTTTAATTGAGAGATTAGCTTCTATTTTTAGTTTACCTGATCAGCTTTTATTGCTACTTTTAAACTTGTTAACAGAGAGTCCTGGTAAATGGTATAAATATAAAATATTTTTAATTATTATAATTATATAAATAAATAAATAAATAAAACAGGTCTAAAACCAGGACTAAACCAGGACTTAAACCAGGACTAAACCAGGACTAAAACTAGGACTAAAACAGGTCTAAAATCAGGACTAAACCAGAGTTAAACTAGATTTAACAGGCCTTAAACAGGACTAAATCCTGCTGCGCGGACGTGTCTTCTCCTCTTCTATCAATAATATTTTTATTTTGGTTAAGTAAAGTCTGGGCTTTTTATTTTCTTTTAGCAGACAAAACTTCTTATGTTACGATATCCTGGTCTTTGCAGCAAATCAAGTAATCCAAAGTATTCAGATTACTTTACTCACTTTAAGTAATTTAATGGATTCCGTTACAAACTACATTTTAGGATATGTAATCTGTAATCTGTAGGGGATTACATTTTAAAAGTCACCTTCCCAACACTGATTATCACATAGAGACAGACAATATAATAAATAATATCAGGCGGTTATTTACCCTTTTACAATTTCAGCTGTCATCCATTAATCTCCAATATTTAATTTGGCCCAAAATATGCATGAAAAACATCTGCATAAAGCTTTATTTGAACATTTTAGTCCAAAGAGCGCACTGTAAATTTGTGAATCCTCTGCACTCTGCACAATTTGTAGTTACAGAAGGTTGTGGATGAGTTTGTACTAAATTTTAATTTGATAATTTGGAGGAAAATGACCTAAATCGGCTGTACATATTGCCTGAAAATATGGGCAAATCTGGCAAAAAAAAAGCGTTTCAAATGATCTCTAATGTCGCTCTTCAAAATAAAATGTGTTCTCGTGACAGGCGTAGCTCCGCATTGTGCCGCCGTACAGTCTCGAGGCCGTATTTCAAACACGAGTCTTGTTAGCCGTATCCACCCCTGTCTCCCCCTCGCTTTGCTTTTGGTTAGGTCCTTGGCACGCTCCACTTCCTCTGGCTCCCTCACACTTTTGTATCAGACGAGTGTAACGACAGGAGCTCAAGCTGTGTTTCTGGGAACACTGCCATCTCCGAACAGGCGCGTTTAGACACTTAGACAAACTCTGACAGGGCCTCACACACACACACACACACACGGGCCGCGGCTGACGAGAACGAGAACGATCTCAACGAGGCAAGGATAGAGCGGCAAAAATAGAAATGCAAATAGTTCTGAGTCTAATACTTACACACACAAAAAATACATGTTTAGTTTAATGCAGTAGTTACATTTTGAGGGTTTTTAGAGAGTTGAATTCAGGGTGTTGATGAAGAATATATGACCTGATTCTCACAAATGACGAACATTATTATGACATTATGGTTTTACTCTTTTTCACTGACAAAATTTCAAAACTTTTTCCTCTTTTTCATGACCTAAAGTGAATTTTCCATGACTTTAGGACACCTACATGTGTAGAATTCATCAGATTTTAAGACTAAGTATGAAATGTGAACTCTTTCCACTAATCTTATGGTTTGGGATTATAGTTTTTTAGTTGTAAAATTTTTATTGAGTCAAAAACAGTTTACAACTCTTGTTCATTATGTGCCTCCTAAACCAAAATGAAAAAAAAAAAAAAAAAAAACTGATAACGATTAGTTTTTTTTTTGTTTTTTTTTTTGTTTTCGATTTTTGTGTTTAAATGAAGGATGAAAAAACAGAAAACGACCGTTTCCAGTTTCCGTGACTTAAACTGGCGGAATTTTGAGCCACATACGGACTGAACCAGGACCGGAACCAGGCCGGGACCAAGACCAGGATTTAGACCGAAACCAGACCAGGGCTGAGTTCAGGACCAGGACAGGGACTGAGACCGGGACCAGACTGAGACCGCGACCAGATCGGGACCAGACAGGGACTGAGACCAGGACTTAGACCAGGACCAGACCAGGGCTGAGTTTGGGAACAGGACCGGGACTGAGACCAGGACTGAGTCCGGGACCAGACCAGGACCAAACGGGGACCAGACCGGGACTGAGACCGGGACCAGACCAGGGACCAGACCAGAACTGAGACCGAGACCAGACCGGGACTGAGACCAGGACTGAGACCGGGACCAGACCGGGACTGAAACCAGGACCAGACCGGGGCTGAGACCGGAACCAGATCGGGACTGAGACAGGGATCAGACCAGGACTGAGACCGGGACCAGACCAGGACCAGACCGGGACTGAAACTGGGACCAGACCGGGGCTGAGACCGGAACCAGATCGGGACTGAGACAGGGACCAGACCAGGACCAGACCGGGACTGAGACCAGAACCAGACCAGAACTGAGACAGGGACCAGATCGGGACTGAGACAGGGACCAGAGACCAGGGACTGAGACCGGGACCAGACCAGGACTGAGACAGGGACCAGACCGGGACTGAGACCAGGGCTGAAAATGGTTTAGTCCTGGTTTAGTCTTGTTTTAGTCCTGGTTCAGTCCTTATGCAGCACAAAAGTTTGGCATCACAGTTTAAGTCACGGAAACGGGAAACGGCTGTTATCTGTTTTTTTTTCCATTATTCATTTAAACACAAAATTGAAAACTGAAAAACCACATTGTTTTTTCATTTTGGTTTTGGAGACAAATAATAAATGTTTTTTCGTTTTCTTATTTTTGGTTTTATTTTGAAAAGCGAATGATACACGGACTGTTAATGAGAACTTAACAGAACTAAAATTCCATGACTTTTCCAAAACTTTCATTGAATTTGCAAAGTGACATTTTCAATTTCCGTGACTTTTCCAGGATTTCGATGACCGTGGGAACCCTGGAGACCATTAAAAAAACTAATTAAAAACCATGTGTTGAATGGATTACTTAAATACCACCTGATGAAGCAGTGAGTGAATTCAGACAATGAGGTATTTTTATAATATAGGTATTTTAAAAGTAAAAGTGAGGGATCAGGATTTTTCTTTGTTGTTGCTCCACATACAAAACGTTAACTGCAAACTCGGGATGATTTCTTCGGCAGTCAAAGGTTTCATTTTCGGTCCTTCCTGTGGATCAATCCTGCCCATCGCCTTCACCTTTCACTATTTTTCTATTCCGTTGGAAAGAGAAACAGTTTGAACGGAGGTTTGCGGTCACACACATCTGATTCCTTTTTGCAGTTTCGCAAATGTCCGAAGCCCATTTCTCGAGCTGTTTTCCACTGTTAGGATCCAACAACCACACAACTGCGATGTCCGAATCCCAAAACTAAAATATGACAATATCAGAACCAGAAACAAAAGTGATATGGTTCAAAAGACTTAAAAAGATTGACTTTGACAATAGACGCATCCCACTGGGAAAACAAACATGGCGGTTTGATGCTCACTTTTTTGGAGAATCCTTCCCAGTATGCATTGCCCGGAAGTCATTACTGCAATACATACTGCAACTGAGCAGAAGTAACAATAAAAATAGAAATATTGTGATACCGTATCATCAAAAGTCTCACAATAATATCGTGAGGCGCCATAGTATATCGAATTATAAGTTATTTTGCTTAAATACATGGTTTTATAGTAGAGACAGCTTCAAAACATGGGGAACTACATATCCCATGATTCATTTCAGCGCAAACAACATGAAGAAATATGTTTTTTACCTGAATTTTTGAGATTATAACAGTAATAATTCACACCAAAATCATGTCACGATATTTTAAAGGCAAAAAAAGCGTCCGATCTACAATTCTATCAGCCTCTTCAAAATATCGCAATAAATATCGTAATCGTGAGATGCATATCGTGATAATATCGTTCCGGTGAGATTTGGAGCTCAAACTCAAACAAATGACTGACTTCAGGAAGAAAATGAGCTCACTAAAATTTGTTTACATAAAAAAAATTTAGCTTTTCAGGTCAAATATTGTTATGCGATTAATTACAAAGCCTGTAATCTACTTTTTATTAATTTTTTTTTTTTTAATCAAGTCCCACCCCTAAAAAAAAACACTTCTCACCTGAGCATCTCTTCAACTATGAATCCTTTTGACGTCGCAAGTTGGGACAGAAAACTCCTCCTGCTCCGTCCCATCTTCTTTTCCACAAAATACAGTCTGATATCTCCAAACTTCACATTTTTACTACTACTACTACTTCTACTTTTACTACTACATCCATCCTGAAATGACTCCACGGGTCTGGGCCTTTTTCTCGCGCACAATCCGAGAGTGGACAGCATCGTGAGTGTGTTGTTCAGCTTTCAAACGTGTCACGAGTGTTCTCTTCGAAGACAATGCCGTGGTTGTTTAATAGCTCCTTTTCTTGAGCCCGGTGTCAGTTATGAAGTTGGTAAAATTTGGCAGACTGGTGGAAGCAGGTGCTGTAGATTTGGTGTTTACCAAAACGGCACCTGGCAGGACTCAGAGATTAAAGATGGTGGAATAAATACTCACAGTTGGTCTGGTGTTAGTCACTCGCAGTATAATAACAATAACATGACGTGACTGATGTAAACAGCAGATGAATATTAATGACGGGAGACGGGGAAAAAATGGACTGGATACTGGGTTGGGTTGATTAAAGCTGCATTGTGTAACTTTTCTGTGGAGAGTTGACCTCGCTCACTGTCAGAATGTTTTTCTAGGTGTTTTTGAGAATCCGTGTATCATTCGTTCATTAGTTTTTCAATATAAAACCAAAAATGAGAAAATTTAAAAAACAACAATTTTCTTCAATATTTGTTTCCAAAACCAAAATGAAAAAACAGATAAAGTTTTTTTTTTTTTTTTTTTCAGTTTTAGATTTTGTGTTTAAATGAAAAATGGAAAGAAAAAAAAAAAACAGCCATTTCCCATTTCCGTGACTTAAACTGTGATGCTGGACTGAACCAGGACTAAACCAGGATTAAACCGCTTTCAGTCCTGGTCTGGTTCCAGTCTGGTCCCGGTCTCAGTCCCAGTCTCAATCATAGTCTGGTCCTGGTCTGATCCCAGCCTCAGTCCCAGTCTCGTCCCGGTCTCAGTCCCGGTCGTGTTCCCGGTCTCAATCTTGATCTCAGTTCTGGTCTGGTCCCAGTCTGATCCCAGACTCAGTCCTGGTCTCAGTTGTCTCAGTTCTAGTCTGTTACCGGTCTCAGTTCTGGTCCTGGTCCGGTCGTTTCCTGGTCTCAGTCTTGATCTCAGTTCTGGTCTGGTCCCAGTCTAAGTCCTGGTCTCAGTCCCGGTCTGGTCCTGGACCTGTTTTAGTCCTGGTTCAGTCCTTGTTCAGTCCGGTTTAAGTCACGGAAACAGGAAATGGCCATTATCTGTTTTTTCCATTATTCATTTAAACACAAAATCAAAAACTGAAAAAAAAAACGAATCATTATCCGATTTTTCATTTTGGTTTTGGAGACAAATAATGAAAAAAATAATTGTTTGTTCATTTTCTTATTTTTGGTTTTATATTGGAAAACAAATGAACGATAGATACACGGATTTTTGAGCTACAAAACCACCTGTCGTTGAATAAATGTAAGGTAAATCTGTTTAATGTCATACTGTGGAACATTCCTGGCTGAACAGTCATGTATCCATGGAAACAAGCAGGTGAAAAGTTACGTAGTGTACCTTTAAATGTGACTGACTGTGGAATAAAGTCAAATTATTCCTGTGATTGAAATAAACTAATCAATCAATCAAATTTTTCTTTTTAAAATACTCCCTACAACTGTACAACAACTCACCGTTATATAACAGATAATACTCCCTACAACTGTACAACAACTCACCGTTATATAACAGATAATACTCCCTACAACTGTACAACAACTCACCCTTATATAACAGATAATACTCCCTACAACTGTACAACACCTCACTTTTATGTAATAGATAATACTCCCTACAACTGTACAACAACTCACCCTTATGTAACAGATAATACTCCCTACAACTGTACAATAACTCACCATTATGTAATAGATAATACTCCCTACAACTGTACAACAACTCAGTAACTGTACAACAACTCACCCTTATGTAACAGATAATACTCCCTACAACTGTACAACACCTCACTTTTATGTAACAGATAATACTCCCTACAACTGTACAACAACTCACCCTTATGTAACAGATAATACTCCCTACAACTGTACAATAACTCACCCTTATGTAATAGATAATACTCCCTACAACTGTACAACAACTCACCCTTATGTAACAGATAATACTCCCTACAACTGTACAATAACTCACCCTTATGTAATAGATAATACTCCCTACAACTGTACAACAACTCACCCTTATGTAACAGATAATACTCCCTACAACTGTACAACACCTCATCCTTATGTAATGTGTTTGTTTTGTTTGTTTTTTCACAAGTTTAAATACTAAGTTTCTTTTCCATAAACTGTAAACGGTCAATTCCACCTGCTGATGTCATGAGGTGGTGCTCCTCAGTTTTAAAGGAAACATATTACACAAAAATCGACTCGGCTTTTACTCATGTTATATTATTTTCTCCTCATTTTACTCTGAGTTGAATTTGGTTTTCACCCTTCCCCTTATTCCAGCCCACTTCTCCACACAGACTGAACTTGTGCTCATTTAAAAAAGACTGAGTCATGCATAAAAGACATTTTTCAAAAAGAGGAAGAATGTCAACAGAACATATTTATTTTAGATCAATATCATACAGGCCTGACTCAGTTACACAAACTTGACTCTTATGAGCTTTAAGTCATGTTAGAATGTAGTTTCCTCCTCAAAAACAAACCTGGGGCTGTGTTTTGTTTGATTCACACAAGTTTGAGTAATAAGTTAAGTAAATGTTTTTAGTTTGTCTACATCTGAAAAGCTTAAAATGCTCTGTTCCATTTTCTGGTGTCATGTGGTAGCGGTAGTTAAAAGCTACATTTTATTTTTTGAGATTATTATGGAGGAGTGGAGGAGTTCAAGTATCTCGGGGTCTTGTTCATGAGGGGAGGATGGAGCGTGAGATTGACAGGTGGATCGGTGCAGCGTCGGCAGTGATGCGGTCGCTGTATTGAACCGTTGCGGTGAAGAGGAGCTGAGCTGAAAGCTGAAGCTCTCGATTTACCTTCAATCTACGTTCCTCCCCTCACCTCTGGTCTTGAGCTCTGGGTAAAGACCAAAAGGACGAGATCGCGGATACAAGCGGCTGAAATTCGTTTCCTCCAAAGGGTGTCTGGGCGTCTCCCTTAAGGGCCGTTCACAAAAGATCGTCAAAAAACTCCCTAGACGTTTCTATTTGGACGCCTTTGCCTTTGAGTTTAGACGCCCCCGATGCTGTGGATGAAATAATTGACGCGCGTCCGTTGCCCTGGAAACAAGTGCTCGGTCCCAGTGTTTTCTCAAAACGATGTCAGACCAAACTCAGAGAGACTTTAGTGTTTTTATTACATAAAACCATCAGCGGCACATTGTATAAATGTATACTCCACTAATGACACTGGTCCTCTTCTAGTTTAGTCCCGGTCTAGTCTAGTCCCGGTTTAGTCCCAGTCTAGTGCCAGTTTAGTTCTGGTCTAGTCCTGGTGTAGTCCCAGTCTAGTCCCGATCTAGTCTCGGTTTAATCCAGGTCTAGTTCTGGTCTAGTCCTGGTTTTAGGCCTGGTCTACTTCTGGTTTAGTCCAGGTCTAGTCCTGGTTTAGTCCTGGTCTGATTCTGGTGTAGTCCTGGTCTAGTTCTGGTCTAGTCCTGGTGTAGTCCCAGTCTAGTCCCGATCTAGTCTCGGTTTAATCCTGGTCTAGTTCTGGTCTAGTCCTGCTTTAATCCAGGTCTAGTCCTGGTTTAGTCCTGGTCTGGTTCTGGTGTAGTCCTGGTGTAGTCCCGGTCTAATCTCGGTTTAATCCTGGTCTAGTTCTGGTCTCGTCCTGGTTTAGTCCCGGTCTAGTTCTGGGTTATCCTGGTCTAGGTCCTGGTTTAGTTAGTCCTGGTCTAGTCCTGGTCTGGTTTGGTTTAGTCCAGGTCTAGTCCTGGTTTAGTCCTGGTCCTGTAGTCTGGTTTAGTCCTGGTTAGTCCTGGTTGTAGTCCTGGTGTAGTCTGGTTCTAGTCCTGGTTTAGTCCTGGTTCTGTAGTCTGGTCCTGGTGTAGTCCTGGTCTAGTCCTGGTTCTGGTGTAGTCCTGGTCTGGTTTAGTCCTGGTCTGGGTAGTCTGGTTGTAGTCCTGGTCTAGTCCTCTGGTTTAGTCTGGTCTGGTCTAGTCCTGGTCTAGTCTGGTCCTAGTCCTGGTCTGGTTCTAGTTCCTGGTTTAGTCCTGGTTCTGGTGTAGTCTGGTCTAGTTCTGGTGTAGTCCTGGTCTGGTTCTGTGTAGTCCTGTCTGTTCTGGTGTAGTCCTGGGTCTGGTTCTGGTTGTGGTAGTCTGGTCTAGTTCTGGTGTAGTCCTGGTCTGGTTCTGGTGTTAGTCCTGGTCTAGTTCTGGTTAGTCTTCTGGTAGTCTGGTGTAGTCCTAGTCCTGGTCTGGTAGTCTGTAGTCTGGTGTAGTCTGGTTCTGGTTCTGGTTCTGGTGTAGTCCTGGTTCTGGTGTAGTCCTGGTCTGTAGTCTGGTCTGGTGTAGTCTGGTTCTGGTGTAGTCCTGGTCTGGTTCTGGTAGTCCTGGTCTACTGGTTAGTGGTCTGGTTCTGGTGTAGGTTCTGGTGTAGTCCTGGTCTGGTCTGGTTCTGGTGTAGTCTGGTCTGGTCTGGTCCTGGTAGGTTCTGGTGTAGTCCTGTAGTCTGGTCTGGTTCTGGTGTTAGTCCTGGTCTGGTTCTGGTCTGGTCTGGTTCTGGTGTAGTCCTGGTCTGGTTCTGGTGTAGTCCTGGTGTCTAGTCCTGGTAGTTCTGGTGTTATGGTGTGTAGTCCTGGTTCTGGTGTAGTCCTGGTAGTCTGGTCTGGTGTAGTCCTGGTCTGGTCTGGTGTAGTTCTGGTGTAGTCCTGGTCTGGTTCTGGTGTAGTCCTGGTCTGGTAGTCCTGGTTGGTGTAGTCCTGGTCTGGTTCTGGTGTAGTCCTGGTCTGGTTCTGGTGTAGTCCTGGTCTGGTTCTGGTTTAGTCCTGGTCTGGTTCTGGTGTAGTCCTGGTCTGGTTCTGGTGTAGTCCTGGTCTGGTTCTGGTTCTAGTTCTGGTGTAGTCCTGGTCTGGTTCTGGTAGTCTGGTTCTGGTGTAGTCCTGGTCTAGTTCTGGTGTAGTCCTGTAGTCCTGGTTCTGGTGTAGTCCTGGTCCTGTGTCTGGTCTGGTGTAGTCTGGTGTAGGTCTAGGTCCTGTAGTCCTGGTCTAGTTCTGGTGTAGTCCTGGTCTGGTTCTGGTGTAGTCCTGGTGTAGTCCTGGTCTGGTTCTGGTGTAGTCCTGGTGGTCTGGTGTAGTCCTGTGTAGTCCTGGTTGGTTGGTCTGGTTCTGGTGTAGTCCTGTA